TCTTCTTACAGTTGTTATTTTAGCTATCTTGGGGTGTCCTGTCAGTGAACAAGAAGATGTGTCAGTAGTCATGGTGTCTTGAATATACTAACATATTTACATGCCTACACTGCTTTCAGCATTTATAACATTTTGTGCATATGTGCTACATACATAAAGATTGTGCCAGTTTAGGCTTTGTATAGCAGATTATGCCTTTAAAGCTAGAACAGCAGCCTAGTCACTTGAATGACTGTAGGATTGACTGCTGACAAATTTAAACTTAATGTTTTTGATTTCATTTTTATAAACCTATTGTGCCATTCTGGTATAGATTTAATGGCAGAGCACATTGTCAGAGGAGGCATGTTTTTGGCCAACCTACCAACTGGACACCAAGGCAGTGGTTTGCTGTGTTTTATTTGACACACCATAGTTTTACGTGAACAGCCGACAGATCTGTACTTATAACAACAGAAGTGGGATGGAAAGTTTGTCTGAATGTCTACACTGCTGTTAGCATTGCAACTGCATTTCCATATAGGCAGAGACTTGTGTCCATCTGTTTTGGGAGTGCTGTGCTGTGCTGTGACACCTTGGCATAACATCTTTACAATATATTAAAAGCTCAAGGCAGATGCAGTTGGTGGGTCTGTTGTGTTAAACCCATAGAGATGAGCTATTTGAACCATTATGCTCTTATCTTAGTGCCATGGACATGTTTTGGGGCTGTGCCAATACACAGCAGTCATCATATGTACCTGGCATAGCAAAGTGGGTTTTATGGTGTTATTTCTGGGATGCCTTGCATGAGACCTCGTATGTTAAGTAATGAATCATTAATTTGTGCCATGATGCCTTGAATAGTATCAGTTCTTGAAATTTCAAGAATTGGTGGTAGTTTTCTATATTATGGGTTGTAGTGTAATGAGTTATCACCCTGATGATGGAGGCAGTAAGCATCTCTGAAATGTCAGTAAACTTCTATCAGACTACATTGTTCTGCAGCCCAGAAGTCAGTCATATAATACTTGCAGCCACGAACCTGAAATTATATAATTTGGTGGTATTTTATTCTGCTCAGAGGAGAGTTTACTAAATGTTATTTATATTGTATTACCTATGCATTAATCATTGCATCACAAACAGGTGCCTATTCAGTTTTGTTGTTGTCATAACATTGAATTAAATGAGACTAAGGCATTAATTAGTGATGTACAGTGATGAACAAGTTATATGGTCTCTCTGAGGTCAGTGTGGTGAGGACATAGTTATGAAGTTTTATGGTATTTTATATATAAAATGGAGTGAATGTACATACATGACAATATATGTTGGTATATGGCGATACTCTGCATGTTCACTGCAAATGAAATATTGATGAGTCTTATCTGAGGCATTACTTGTATAAAAAACAATTTTATCAGTTGATGGGAAGCCTCACATACTTGGAGTCTTTGTACACCCAAGATTTTGCGCATGACTAAATTTGTCACTGTCGAAAAATGTTAGGGAGGGTGTTGTGAACCATATGAGAAGCAGTAGTGACTGCAGTGCCTTACTTTAATGATGATGCTACTAATTTGAGTGAAATTGTAAAATGCATGTACATCTGTGATAAAGTACAAAGTATATAGCATTGAGTAAAAAAGACAGTAATTATAATTATTTTGCTTAAAGTGTGCACAGAACCAAGAATTCAAAAATGTGGTTACCGAAGCAGCCAGTGACAAGCTGAATCACCAATTTTTCCAGGTAGTTTCTAGTATTGTGAAATCTGAATATGGGTAATGGCATTTTGTAGAAGTAGTCTGTATTGACAGTATTTTGGAGATTCTCACTGCTTACTGCTTGAAGACAAAGGCTACACTGTGCGATTGCATAGACGAACGATTCCTGTTAGAACTGAACTCTTGTGAAAGCTTGGTATCCTCTACTTTTGTGGGGAGGAGACATACCCATCACCTTGAAATTGGAGACAGTAAGGATCTCCAAAATAGTGGCAATACAGCCCATGTCAGCATCATAAATTGCAAGAACAGGACTTGCATTAGCTTTGATTTGGTTTTCAGAAAGACTGGCAATATGGCATGCATCTACATAGTGCCGTCACCCAGAAATGGTATCTGCATTAGCATTGAACCTCTGTGAAAGCCTGAAATCATCCATTTCAGTATTATTGTCTTTTTTTGTGCCTTAGTTTTATTTATTTATTTTTATATGGTTTTTGTAAATATATTTTTAAAATCTTTTAAAAGTAAGTGCCCACACTTTTTAAAAATGGGATAATTCCAAAATCTTTAAAAAGTCTTTTAATTTTAAAGTTCTTATATTTCCAGTGCTAGAAACTATTGTCTTAGGATGGTAAAATTAGTTTGAAACAATTCCTTATTAAAAAGAGCTAAGTGTGTACAGTCACAAAGGGCAAATCAGTTTTTAGTTTGGCAAGTATGCTGTGGCATGATATTTCAAGCTCTGTATGCGTGTCCTGTTAGTGGATGCAAAGAAATTATAACAAAGTGGTCTGCCAACCTGAGGATGACATTGAATTGCATTACTCTATTTATGCAGTATTTTTTCTTGTACAAGTGGCAGTTTTTATATTATAAACACTCATGAATTGGATGTGGTATATCAGTCCTGTAATTGTTTATATTCATACAAAAATTATGTTCAGATGTATCTCTTTACTACATTTTTATGTTAAAGTGGTAAAGTAACAAGACTGGAAAGGCATGTTCCATACTAGAATACACCTGTTATTTGCAAATTCTGAATTATTAATAAAAGATTACATGAGTTATCTTACTTAGAGAAATTTAGTTTCAAACTATACAAATCATGCAGTCTGAAAGTCTTTAAGTTCCATAAATCAATAATTACACATTATAAGGTGCTTTAACCCTGTAGTAGCATACTGGATTCATATGCACAGGGCCATAAGATAAAATCCTGGTAAGCCAAAAAAATTTTCTTCTATACAGCTGCCATGTTATTTTGTGTAAAACAAAGAATTGTTTTCCAAAGTTTCATATTTTCTGAAAATCTATAACCATATAGACATGCATTCATGTCATGCACACTGTTCAAGGAACACATAATCATGGGAAATAAGTGTAAATAAATGCTGAAAGTTCTCTTACATTTTTATAGTTATGAGTGTGATATGTTGTGCACTCCATCAAATATATGCTGTGCATATACTGTATTTTCTCAATTTGAGGATAAAATGTTTTTCACATTTTAAATTTATGAAATTGGGTGTGTCTTATGTTTGTATAGCATATTTTTTCCCCTGAAAACCTATTGCTAAATCAAGGGTGCATCTTACAATCAGTGGCATCTTAGAATTGAGAAAATGTGGTTTGGGAATGTTTTAAGTATGCCTCTTTGCATTACGGTTGTGTTTATAGATGGGTGAGGGAGGAGAGAATTAGAATCTAAAGACATTTCATAAAAATGTTGACATCATAAGCATAACTTTGAAACCAACATTATTCTCATAACATAAAAAATACAAATTTGTGAAGCAGTTACTAGACCAGCATGTTTGTGAGGTAGCAAAGTATGGGCCATAAGGAGGAATAATGAGGGAAACTTTGTGTCATTTATATCTCAGTTCAGATAAATATGTTGTGCCATATATGGAAAGCGCTGCGAAAGAAAACTGGTAAGAGACAGTATGTATTACATCCTGCCAGTATATTCCAGTATCAGTTATTGATTCTGATAACCTGAATTAACATTTACATATATCTCTTTATATATACACTAAATTACAAAATATTTCATACAGTAGTATATAAATATAAGTATTTTATACCTTGTACATATTTTTTTGTGTATTAACTTCTTTTGAGAGATTTTGATATCCTATTTTGGTTTGACTGCAAGAAACACATTCTGATTAAGATGTATTTGTGAGTTTTTGTACTTGTTCATATATACTTTGTATTCATGTAGTAAGTATGTCACAAACTGGTTTCTGATTTGCCTTCCATAAAGGATGGATTATCAACTGTTCCATAGCTCAGGCTGTTAAATGCTGGCTTCTCACCTTGGAGGCCTGCCCAGGTCACTGGGATAGGTTTCTCTCGGGGTAGTCCTTTGATTTTCTGTGTGAAAATTATTCCATCACTGCTCCATATTCATTCATATATATCATCTGGAGGATGGACAATGGACCCATTAGTTTACCCAGTTCCAAAGAGACAGTCTTATCCCATCACAGCAATAACATTATAGTAATGTAAGGCAGGTTGTATTTTGCTAATTCATGGATTTTGATTTTGTCCTGTTCTGGCAGAACCATGTCCGCAGACCAGCAGCAGTTCTTCTTAAAATGGAACGATTTCCAAACCAATATGGTTTCTTCATTCAAGCACCTGCGTGATGAGAAGAGCTTCACGGATGTAACACTGGCATGTGATGGTCAGACCTGCAAGGCGCACAAGATGGTTCTGTCTGCTTGTAGCCCCTATTTCAAATCACTATTAGAGGTATCATATATTGATTTAGCTATTACTCTTCTGTTAGTCTTTTATTAGACGTCCACAATTATTTCACCATCAGTAATCATTTTGGCAATTTAGTACGCATGCTGACAATTATTTGAAATGTAACTAGTCAGGAGAATACTCGGATCCAAAACAAATTAAGTACGTTTTCAGTTCAAGGCAGTACATAACGAGGAACTTCATGAATTACTCAGGTCACCCAGTATTGTTAGGGTAATGAAATCTGGAAGGTCATTAAGGACTGGACATGTAGTTTGGAATGGAGATGTTAGAAATAGAATATTGGTGAGGAAACTTTTTGGAAGCTGGCCACTTTGCCAACAAAATGGGATGAGAGGATAACATTAATATGGATTTTAGGGAAATGGGTTGTGAAGAAGGGAGGCGGATGAAACTGACTTAGGGTTGTTTCCAATGGAGACTTTAATATTAGCAATGTTGATAGAATAAAATAGTTTTCTTGAAGTAGTTAAGATACAGAATGCAGACTTATGTATTACCATGTTTTGTGGCAGCTCACATATAGTTATATGCACAGTTCTGTGTTCAGGTGACTTTCATTATGTGTTTTCCCTATCTGTTTTGTACTCTTATCTACAGTTTGATTTAAGTATCATGAGCATCAGTATCCTATCCATGTCCAAAATTTAAAGCCTGTGTCCAACCTCCTTCTCCAGGCTTATCAGGAACGTGATGCAAATGATAAGCTTAGCATCAGAGAATTATGGTGCCAACAAAATGGTGACAGTTATATGTGCGCCAAGTTTTCAGTACACATGACAATTTACAAGAATGCAACAACCATGTATAACGAGAGTTACCAGTGTTGAATTTGGTGCGTACAATGAATGTCTGTGTGGAGGTTTTATTAATCATGTTGCATGCTTTTCATCTTCCACACCACATGGTGGATTTGGTGATCTTTATTGTGGTAGGAACCGCCACGGTGGTCTAACGGTTAGAACACTGGCCTTGTAATCCTGGGGTCCCGAATTTATAACTTGTGTTGGGCAAGGCCGTGGCCTAGGCAACACAGAGTTTTCTTCCAGGGCTTCCCCGGTTTCTCCGTGTCATCCCAACAATTACTCCATACTCCATACACACAGAAGAAGGCAATGGCAAATCACTTCTGTATCACCTGCCTAAAAAAACATATGAAAAGGTCCCAGTCCGAGAAAAGGATGGAAGGATCCTGTTTATAATATGTTGCCAACCTCCTGTAAAGGCGACGGCGTAATAAAGAAGGAGAAGATTGTGGTAGGGTAGAATTTGTATTCTTATTGACCACTGATAAATGTAAAATAAAGTAATTTTTTGTGTGCATTCTGGATATACAGGAAGAAGATCCCGGTCCTAGTCCATGAGAAAATACACACTGTTGGAAGTCGTGAAGCGTTTTTTACTGTACTTAGTAATAATATTGAAACAACCAAAACAGTGAAATGCTAAAAGGATTTTTTTCTGGTTGACAGGAAAATCCATCAAAACACCCTATCATTATCTTGAAGGATGTCCCATATAACCACCTGCAATCAATACTGGAGTTCATGTATGCAGGTGAGGTTAATGTGTCGCAAGAGCAGCTACCAGCGTTTCTCAAGACCGCAGACCGTCTGAAGGTGAAGGGCCTGGCTGAGGCTCCGCAGTCCATAAAGCGAGAAGGATAGGGGACACCGTCTGTCTGTCAGGTAGGTGAATTGCATTGCATTGCATTAAAGGGAGAAGCATAGTTTGAATTGAAAGTAAATGTTGCCCTGTGTCTAAGCACCATACATTGAAATCGCGCAGGCAATACACTGGTAACATTTGTTGCGTTCTAAAGTAACTGACACAAATGAAGGTGGGTAGTGCCAGAAAGAGGGAGAAGTACATTTCTATCTCTGATAATTCTTTACACATTTTCTGTTCTTATATTGCATGCTTCAGCAGCACATTTTTGTGCTTTGGCAGCTTTTTGGACTGGCATATCAGTGTCTGCTTTACATCATTTCACAAGAAGTTTACCTTCCGTATTTTAACGCACCAGTTGCATATCTAATGCGAAATACCAAAAACTTGCTCCACATAAACAACATTTACACAATAGCATGTAGCAGGTGACTGAAGCTGATTGGCTCACAGGGCATGTGACAGATGTGCAGAAGCATCCAAAACTTAGCTGCTGTTGTTTATGTCGTACATTTTAGACCTGATCGCTTAATGGAGATGGGTGATCAGCCTCACATTCTGGCTATGTAAGAACTGCCACTGTCCATTGGATAAAATTCCAGGTGGTCCTCAGCTGATCTGGATATAAAGTGGTGAAGGCAAAGATTTTTGT